GTGTTCTAGGGGTCTTTGTAGACATTTCTCTTTTTTATACATTTTAAACATTTTTCTTATAACTTATCTAAAATTTCATTAATTATTCTCTCTGTGTCAGTCTGGCTTGTGAGCCCCTGAGGACAAAGACCATGGCTTGTTTATATCCCCTGTACCTAGCACAGTGGTTCAAATTTTCCCAGTGCCTAAAAAGAAAAGAAGGAAAGAAAACAGAATGAAAATGACTGGCAAACTATTGAGCACCCTGGACTTTCTAGGACTAAGGCCACTTGCCTCTACTTCTCCATTCTACTGCCCCCTCCCACTCCCACAGGGCCAAATGCCAATCTCAGAATTACAGGCACAAGCTTGCCCTGCGTTCTTCACCTATCTCTTATAAACAACGTACTGGATTCCCCTAATGTTACTGCTCCAACAGACTACCACCTACGGTCTACTGACCCAGTTCACCTAGCATGTGCATCTCCCTGACCCTATCCATCTTGCCAAATTTGACTGTACTTCACTGTACCAGGCCAACATGACCAATAATGTAAACACCCACACACTATTCATAAGATAATCTCCCTAAAATACTGCTTTTATCACATCATTTGCCTACACAAGAAAACATAAACAATAATGCCTGGAGAAAGATTAAAATGGTGAGCCTAGAATTCAAGATTCATTCTACATTACTTATCAGACCTCATTTCCTTCAGTTCTTCAGCATAAATTATACACTCTGATGAGGTGTGTTTGTTTTTTTATTCTCCCTCTCAAATGTTCTACTTCGGTTTTTTGCTCACATTATTTCCCTCAACCTCATCTCCTCAAACCAAATACAACTCTTAAAATCTAAATATCCCTGTAGGAGGCAATATCAACCAATTAATACTCAGGATTAGATTTTCAGATATTAGCAAGTTGGTCACCTAGCAAGGCCCTGAAGGGAAAAAAATAAACAAGACAATTAACATAAGAGTTCCCTGGAGACAAATAAGAGTAATAGAGTTTGGTAACACAGAGAGAACTAGAGAAAGTCGTCAGCAAGGTAGCTCTGATCACTGGGAGTCATAGGCTGTTGACTCTAAGAAAATATAGGATGGAAATATATCAACAAACCCATTTTTAACTTTCCGCTTATGTCTCGCTTACATTTAAGAAATCCTCTAAAAGATAGGAGAAATCCTGAACGTATAAACCAGATCTTTACCAACCACTCAAAAAAACACCACTAGGGCTTTTTGTTAATCTTCTAGGTGTTAATCACTCTAACTCAACAGGGAATGCCTATGGTCTGTCATCAAGCTCTGTGCAAAGAGAAATAACCGTGGTATCTCCACCCAAAATAGACCAAAAAAAAGCAGACTTAATTTAAATAGAAAATATCTATGGATGTTATAGCAAGGTAGCATCTTGTTAGTTAAACAGACATTTTAGCTGTGATATAAAAAAGGATTCTAGCCCGGCCTGGCATAGCTCAGTGGTTGAGCATCAACCCACGATCCAGGAGATCACAGTTCGATTCCCAGTCAGGGCACATGCCCAGGTTTCAGGCTCCATCCCCAGTCGGGGCATGGAGGAGGCAGCAGATCCATGACGACTCTCTCATCACTGATGTTTCTATCTCTCTCCCTCCCTTCTCCCTTCCTCTCTATGAAATCAACAAAGGTATATATTTTTTAAATAAATAAATAAAATAAATAAAGCATTTCTATTCATCTAAGGCAAGTAGTAATAAATCCTTCTCTAACTGCCAGTCTTTTTTTAAATGCATATAACCTAATGAATCTTTTTGTTGTTACAATTTCAGATGAGCGTCTACTACTCTTGCTTTCAAATCAAGAGCTAAAACTATGGCAGGTGGGGGTATGGTGGCCTACAATCCAATATTAAATAATGAGTAACAATGTCATGCACAAGGCAAGTAATTTCACATGATTTGCTGTTAGAAGAAAGTAAAACAATCATAAAGGACCATCATCAATCATTTTCCATTTTAAGTTAAAAAGCCATTTAGCAATAAAATGAAAAGCTGAGCTGGAAGAATCCTAAATCTAACAATGCAATGCTCTAGAATTCAAAGAACAAATTCTTTGAATTCTTGTAATTTGTCATTTACAAATTAGCAAACACTGAGATTCTGCAAAGATGGACTACTCCTGATAAGGACACCACAAAACCAGGGTTAGCCTCCTTACCCATCTGTTACTTGCTCCTGATATTTACCCACTCCCCACCAAAAACAAAGAAACCACACCCACCCAAATTATAACAACTCAGGAAATATCTACACCATGGGAGATTAAAAAATACAAAGCTAGGCCCTGTTCTCAAAGAATTTACAATCTTGTAGAAGGAAATGAATATATTATAAGATTAAGGTAGACAATATAAGATCAAATGATAGCTATAAGAACAAAGAATACGCATTACAGAGAAATCAATAGATCTGTAGGATTAAAATGCATCACAGTTTGGAGCTTGACTGAGTTAACTTGACACATAATACAAAAAGAAGGAAGGGGTGTCCTCTACACCAAGACCCCAGGAAAAATAATTCCGCCAAGGAATCTAAAATACAAAGGTTCCTTCCAGCTCTCATGATAAAGCGCATCCAACAATCCCTTAGATTCTAAGTAGCTTACCAGGAGCAGAAGGAAGAAAGCAGAAGGAAGTTTCCAAACTCTTCATTCTACGTAACCATCAAAGGAAATTCCATCAATTAAATTTTTTTCTTCTAAAAGCTGAATAGCTTTATATTTCACACACAGATGTGCGGTACATTTTAAGTTCATTTTTGTATAATGTATGTGGTTTAGGTCAAGATGCGTTATTTTTGTATGTGGATGTCCAACGTTTCAACACCACTTATTGAAAAGACTATTCTATTTCACTTAGAAACTTTGTAAAAAATTATTGGCTATATTGGTGTGGTTCTATTTCTGGAATCTCTATTTTATTTCATTGATCTATATGTCTAGCTCTTTGCTAATACCCCAGTCTTGATTATGGTAATGTCGTGCTGAGTTTTAAAATCATGTAGTTTGATTTTTCCAACTTTTTTTTTCAAAATTGTTCTGGCTATTCCAGGTCCTTAGCCTTTCTATAGGAATTTTAGAATCAGTTTCTCTATAACTACAAACAATGCTGTTGGGATATTTATTGATAATGTGTTAGATCTATAGATCAATTTGGGGAGAATGAACATCTTTACTATAGTGAATCTTCCAATTCATGAATATGATACGCCTCTCCATTTAAATCTTCTTTGATTATTTTTAATCAGGGTTTATAGTTTTCAGCATAGATATATATTTTATTAACTTTAAACCTAAGTATTTCATTTTGGGGAGCTATTGTAAACTTTTTAAAATTCAAATTTCAATCATTTATCACTAGTGTATAGAAATGATTACTTTTTGTGGGTTGACCTTGAATCACTTGCTAAACTCATTTATTCTAGAAATTTTTTGTGGATTCCTTGGGATTGTCTACATAGACATTCATGCCATATGCAAACAGGGACAGTTTTATTTCTTCCTTTCTAATCTGTATGCCATTATTTCTTTGAATATTTTTGCCGCACCACTCTCATTCTCTTCTCAGTCTGGGTTTCTGATGACACAAATGTTAAACCTTATAATAGTCTCATAGGTCCCCAAGACTATTTAGTTTTAGCCTTCTTTTTTTGTTGTTCCAACTGGATCATCTCTTTTTTTTTCCAATCAGGTATACAAAGTATTTTTCGCTTAAGTGCAGCATAAGGTCTATGTTATTTTTTTTTTAAGTTTCCAACTGGATCATTTCTATTGATCTATTTTCAAATTCTGACTCTTTCATCTATCATATCCACTCTGCTACTGAGCCCATCCAGTAAGATTTTTATTTCCATTATTGTATTTCTCCATTCTAAAATTTCCATTTAGTCTTTATATCTTCTACTTCTTTGCTGAGGTGTTTTTTTTAAATCTTCCTGCTCACTCTTGAACATTTAGTTCTTTGTATCTTCTGTTTCTCTGCTGAGACTTTTTATCTTCCTGCCCATTCCTGGAACATGGTCATTATAGCTGATTTAAAAATTCTTTGCGATAAACACCTGTGTGTTCTTGGCACTGAGATCTGTGTTACCTTTTCCCATGTGAGTTTAAATTTTTCTCTTTTAAAGCTGAGTAATTCTAGATTGTATTTTGGACATTTTGAATATTATGTTATGAGACTCTGGGTTTTATTTAAGTCTCACTGAGAATGTCTGTGCTTTTTTTTTAGTCAGCAATTAACCCAGTTGGGTTCACAGTTCAAGTTCTAACATGTCTTCTGTGGGTTGTTTCCAATTTCAATTCAGTTATGTGTTCCATAACTGTCCCACGTAGTGTCCAGTTTGGGGACTGGGAGGTGGTCTATCCCATAATTCCATCCTCAATGTTTATTCATGCTGTTTAGAATCAGGCTCATGTATACACAGCTTGGACGTCAGCTCAGCAGTCCATAAGCAATTTTAAGTGGTTTCCCTGCAATCTTCTGGTTCCCTAGGGCTCCCTTTTCTCAGTCTTCCAACAGAAAGCTGGGCTTCATTAACCACACTCTGCTGTGTATTTCCCATGACTGTGTCAGAAGTCAGGCCCAGGACGAGCAAGAGAAGAGCAGAGGGAGAAGAAAATGGGATTTGCTCCACTCTCTTAAGACCATAGCTCCTTCAATTTGAGAGGAAGGTTTCCTTTTCTCTGTGATTTAGGCTCCAGCCTGCACCCACTGAGACCACTGCAGCCACTGCCAAGGACTGCTTGAAGCCCAGGGTGCAAGAGAATGAAGAAAAGAAAAAAAAGAAGAAAAAAGAAAAAGATGTGGAATTGCCACATTTTCTCTGAGCATTAGGAAACCCCTTTCCTGCTCCTTGAGTCAGAACTAGACGACCTCTCCTGGTGTTTTCTGTCCTTGTTAATAATGCTCACTTCCAAGTTTCAGGATACATTAAGTTCAGGAGGGGGCATACTGGAAGAAAAAAATGGTAAACTCACCACCGGTTCACTGGTACTTTCAATTCTGGTCTTCTTCCCCAATCTGCCTCCTACTACTTATTTTTCAGAGTCCTCAAATAGCCACTCCAAGCATTCTGTCCAGGTTTTATAGCTGCATTCAGTGGGAGAGACAGGGCGAAGTATGCTTACTCCATCTTATCTGGAACCAGAACCTGGACTGTTTTTCTTAACAAATTTTGTAGAACTGATTGATTAAACTATCTGTATAAGTTTGATTATAAATTTTAAATAAATAAATCCTGTAGTAATCTTATCGAGGAAAAAGGAAGAGGCAAGCTAGTAGAATCACATTTTTTTAAGCCTACATATTTTTGGATATTACATGTTTAGGAAAAAAAGTGAAGCTCTTAACTGCACTTTATTTCTTTAAATCTTATTTTACCCGTGGATTTTTACAAATATTAGGCCTGTTATAAATTTTTTTAAAGGAAAAAAGAAAGTAGGAGTTATCCAAAGCATAAGACAAAGGAAAGCGGACTGCAGATGAGAGGCCATAAACTGTTTAGGAACTGAAAAAAAATGTGTCATGTTAAGGTGGATAGACTTTACCTGAGAAAAGGCAGGCCCTGAATTATTTTAGCAAAGGTGGGGGAGCAACACGATCCAACTGATATATCTGAAGGATCACTCCTGCTGCAGAACATAAAGGTGCACAGAAAATGACTCTTACTGTTTGAATCTAAGGGGTAACATAAAGTTGCAGAACAGTAGATATAAAGTATGATTCCACATGTTGTTGGGGGATATGGATAAGGAAGAAAGATTTTTTAAAATTTATTTTAGAGAGGGAAGAAGGGAGAGAAGGAGAGACAAACATAGATGTGAGAGAGATACATGGATCGGTTGCCTCCCATACATGCCCTGACCAGTGAGTGATCTAACAAGCAACCTAGGTATGTGCCTTGATCGGGATCGAACCCGAGAGTTTTTGGTGTGCAGGACGATGCTCTAACCAACTGAGCTGACACACCGGCCAGGGCAAGGGAAAAGATTTTATACACACACACAATCATTTCATTATATATGTCATTCATGACATATATATGACATATATAATGATATGGTTATATATGTGTGCAGGAAACTAACTTTTTACTTTATTCTTCTGTTTAAGTTTTAAATTTTTTTACTGTGAACATTTATAGCCTTAAAAAGGTTGTAAATAAAATGGAGGTAGGTCTTATGTATGCATTAGATAAAAGATAGATATAAGATATTAAAACAAGACAAGTATGAATGAGTCTAACATTCAGTAGCACTGTTCCTAGCATATAGTAAGCACAAAAATGCTGCTATAGATCTCCCCACAAATAAGATATTATCGAACATTTATATAGTAACTTCACAACCCAAAACAGCTTTTTAATTAAATTACATTACACTAATTTACCATGTATTTTCAAGCATGGATTTTGAGATGTTCATAATTGTTATATTGCATTTTTACTATAAAAGAAATGTTTGCATTATTCTTTTCAATTTCTTAAGCACCAAAGAACATACTAAAAGGAAAAAGTAAAAGATCCTCCTTTCCTGGTACCTCTAATTCCAATATCCAAACATAACCATTCCCAGTGGTTCTTGAGTTCTATATGATTACAGACTTTCTTTGTGCATATAAACCACATATAAACATATGTGTATGTACATATACACACATATATACATTATATTCTATTTCAAGGAAATGGATCTCTGCTCCTTAAAATAATCTAGACCTATTCTAGTTCCTATTTGTCATTTTTCTAAACCCAAACAGAGTAATGAATAGACAAATCCCTGCGCGGGCAGACAATGTTAACTCTCCCAACTAGGTAAATGTTTAAAGTGAACATACTGAACAAATAAAGTTCTTAGAGATCTCCTAACACTCTTTAATAAAACAGGTAAGTATTAACCAGGGCAAGCTAAATTACTTTAGAAGGAAAATTGCACAGGATGAAACAAACAGAAGGGCAGATGATAGGTTAAAGGATACAATGAAGGAGTAAGGGGTTATCCCTAACTTTTAGGTCCCAGAGTTTGACTACTATGCTCTCCCGCAAAAGGAGTTATCAGAGATCTTATAATACCCTTTGATGGAGCCGATGAAACTTCACGAGGGCAAGCACCTTAAGGAGTAACTTTCGTAGACAGTCTTCTATAATGGAAAGAAATTACATATTTCTTACATTCTTATGTCTAGGGAAAGAACGTAGTTGCACTGCACAGCAGTAGCTGGAGACTTCAAGCAGGGACGGCAGAGGAGGTGCAACTGCTCTTCTGTCATAGTGCCCCTTCTTCCAAACTCTCAGAGCTGTGCTCTGCAGTTTCCAAAACAAAAATAAAAAGCAGAACCAACATCTCCGGGTAAAAAAAAGTCCCTGAAAGCCAAAACAAAATCACTTATTTATGGGCTATGCTGTTTTCTTCTGCATTTATATGGGGCAAGACAAATTGTTTCCGAACTACTTCAACTGAGAATAATAAAATTATTTGGTTATCAAATAATGGCATTTACTCTATTATTTCTTGATATTAATAGGATCCTCACTTGCTTTCAGAGGTTGTAGAGGATAAAATTTTTGAAATAATTAAATAAACTTAATTAATTACCTTCTCATCCAAAGTAATATATAAAGAGAAAAACCTCAGTTTTACTCAAGTTGGTGCTTTGAAAGAACACAAAAAATAAGATATGCTGATCATTCACAACATGACATAGAGGGCTAAAATAGAGCAGAGGCAGGACAACTTTCTAGTCATTCAATGATTTAAGTAGTGATTTTTAAATACAAACTTTAAAAAATCCTCACCTGAGGATACAGTTTATTGATTTTAGAGAGAGAGTAAGAGAGGGAGGAAGGGAGGGAGGGAAGGAGAGAAATATCAACGTGAGAGAGAAACATGGATCAGTGCCCTGACCAGGAGATCGAACCCACAACTTAGGTATGTGCCCTCACCAGGAACCATACCCACAACTTTTTTAGTGTACGGGAGGACACTCCAACCTACTAAGCCACCTGGTCAAGGCTACAACAACCTTCATTAGATTGAACACATTATGAAAAGAATACACAAGAATTAGTGAGATATCTGATCTACAGAATATTTTTAAAGAAAAACTATTTTATGCTTGGTATATATTTATACACCAACTGGAAGCAAGTTAACAAAATATAAACTTTTAAAGATCCTAGAAAGACTCCCTTTGGTGAAAAGATATACTAAGATATACACTAAGTATAAATTATAGCAATTTTACAATATTGTGGATTCCCAAAACATTAGACCCACCTATATGCAAAGATTAAAAACACTTCTAAAGCAAACAGAAATCATTTTCTGGAAGATTCAAATGACTGCCTTCTATAACAATGGAGAGTTGAATATGTAATATTCAACTTAGGTTTTGAGAACCTAAGTCCTAGTTGGCCAAAGGTAACTTTATCAACTAGTATTTATAGCACTCTTTAACAAATTATTCCAGAACCTCAATATTTCTTTTTCTTATCATAAAAAACAACAATGAATCTTATGAAAAAAATAATCAGAAATAGAAGAATAATGTTATTCTATTCTCCCACATCTCCATTTACAAATGTGTGCTATTACCAAATACAAAGCTACCTCATGCTATTATTTTGCCATGGAGCACAAAATAAATGTCAAGTGTAAATGCATAGAATTCCTGTCTTTTAAGAAGCTTGCAATTTACAAGAGAACACATTTCATTTAGTTCCTTTTCTGGAGATTCAAAATGAAAAGGGAACCCAATGTATGGGAGAACATATTTGCCAATGATACATGTGATAAGGAGTTAATTTCCAAAATATATACTCATACAACTCAACAAAAAGAAGACAAATAACCCAACTGAAAAATGGGCAAAGGACCTGAATAGACACTTCTCCAAAGACGACATACAAATGGCCAAGAGACATATTAAAAAAATGCTCAATGCCACTAATTATCAGAGAGATGAGGTAGCACCTCACACCTGCCAGAATGGCTACCATTAATAAATCAACAAACAACAAGTTCTGGTGAGGATGTGGAGAAAAAGGAATCCTAGTACACTGCTGGTGGGGATGTAGGCTGGTACAACCACTATGGAAAACAGTGTGGAGCTTCGTCCAAAAATTAAAAATGTATCCAGTGATCATACTTCTAGGAATATATCTAAGAAGCCAGAAACACCAATCAGAATATATGCACCCCTATGTTCACTGCAGCACTGTTTACAACAGCTAAGATCTGGAAAGAGCCCAAGAAGAGCCCATCAGTAGATGAATGGATTAAAAAACTGTGGTATATTTACACCATGGAATACTATGCAGCTGTTAAAAAAAAAAAAAAAAAAAAGGATCTTTT